TAAAAAGATAAAACCTAAAACCTTGGGGATGGGGAAAGAGGCAAAGGGGTTGTCCACCCTTCGAGGAACACGGTCGGCTATTGCTTCGAGGCTAGGTGGCCCATAAGCTGGCAACCTTACCGTAGATGGACATACGGGGGTAGCTTTCTCCCTTCTATCTCGTTTTCTCTTGCTCACACATACACGATCCACCTATCGGTATAAGGGTCACAATAGACCCTGAACGAAGGTTGTGTGCTGCGCTAATAATAGGCGGGCGAACCGATCAGCCAGTTGACCGTGACTAGATAAAAAATACTGCCTGACAGCCGTCCACCCTCTCTCGCGACCCTCGAGCAGTTTCCAACACACGAGCGCGTACACGCACGGACTGGGAGTAAAGGCAAGCGACAAACTACTCTTGGACCGCGTTGTCATGCTAATCGAGTGCAAGTCGACGGGACCATGGATACCCTCTGCAGGGTAGTTTACGCGAAATCGCTGGAAGAAGCTTGCCTGGGGAAGCAGCTCGTAAATTTCATTGCTGATTCGAGACTCAACGCTGTCGACACGCGTGTACCCTTTTTTCGAACACTTTCAATGTTTACAGGTGGTTATTGGATTTTTTAAATGAATTTTCTTAATAGTCTTTCAGATTAAATTAAGAATCGCTAAATGCACATAAATATTGTTACGATGGACTTGACTTATGAATTCTGCTAGAGGATGGACGATGGCCAGTCGCCTAGGTGTATAATAAAATAAACTGTCAGCAGCAGCTCGCATAAAAATGCTAAACAGCTCCGCGGTCCATATTGTCCCTACGTGTACCGTGCAGATGTTCCAGAGATTGTGCCGTTTTAACTTAATCCTGGTTCAATTGCCTATTGCGAGCAGATCGATGTTTCTACATAGTTCGTTTAAGTTTTTCCTATACGTTGATTCATTCGCGTACTATCGATTCGTCGTTTAATTCGAGGATGGAAACACGCGGATATAGGTGAGCACTTTGCGTCTATCACGTTGATGAATGCACGAACAGATAGAATCGTATCTTTCTCTTTCTCTCGTTCCTGTAAATCATTGCCGAGACATTTAACCCTCGAACGATTCAGAAGCATGGGTGAAGCTCGGCAACCCGAGTAGGTGCACGATATAGTACTCACGACTAATTACTATACATTATCTATTCCACGTAATCTCAAATTTCCATAATATTGTAAAGAATAAGAATTACTTACTATAAGAATCTTAAATCTATGAAAATTCTACACTTTCGTTTCGAAGACGATGCTTTCTCAAAGCTCGATGCACCTTTCTATGTTTATACAACGTACAGTTTTACTACAGCTGGTGCAATTTAAGCAAAAGGATGTATAGAGTGAGTTCAACGTGAGTGTTGCAGGAGGAGGAGGAACATGATGGAGAGGTGGAAGGACGAGGTGGTAGATGGAAGGGGTATCGAGTCTGGTAGAATGATAATAATAACTGGCCATTGGGGGTGTGCGAGGGTTGAAGGTTGTATCGTGAGTAGGCGGGGCCAGTGGTGGCAGGCGCCTCGATTCCAACGAGGAGTACGACCCTACAACTGGATAGGTATTTCCCATACCATGGGAACAGGGAACCTCATGGAGAGCGACGGCGCGAGAGTTGCTACCCCTGGACACCACCCCCACGACCACCCTCTCGTTTCGTCGAGCAACGTGTTCGAGCGCCTCTTCTTCCTGAGAATATGGTCCATCCCACCTTTCAAATTCCCTCATTCAACCTGCAATTACTAAATGTATCTACCGTCCTTGATCGTACGTATGGTATTCTATGGAAATGAAAGAGGGTCGTAATCGTAACTCTACTTAACAGGTGTAAGTTCGCTGTCACAGATGATACTAACGATTGATTTTTTGGTTTCGATCGTTGAAAATCAGGAAGCAAACTATCAAAGGAAGTAGATAGCGTATCGCGAAGCAAGGGTGACGTTTAACGAGGTTATCTAGCGGATTGCACGCGTCTCGAGGGGATCTTAAAACCGTTAACGATATCACTCGTCAATCACCCTGATGACTGGTGATTGATGCGCGAACAGTTAAAGAAGAAAGAAGGAGTTGCACGGCGTAATGCCGGAAAACACGATCAGTTCTGGCCTTAGCGAAACGCGGCTCGCAACGCCAATCCTCCCTGGCTATGACTCGCATGAACGACCGTGAATCGAATCGTCGTCGTCTACCACGACGATAAAAGTAATTCCATTTGACCAAACGGGGAGGAACTTTCGCATTGCATCCCCGCAATCATGCGATTCCAAGTTCACCGAGGCTCGAGGCTCGAAAATCAATGCCCGGACAAACTTTGTTAACAATTATTTCATACGGTTATTATTAATCACTCTAATTAAGGAGCAAACTAGTTTCTACTCTAATTTGCAATTTCTACATTCAAAATCATTGAAATGATCAGTCTTAGAAGAAAATAGCCAAGTGTTAATAACATGTCTGAAGAAAATATGTATAATTTCTTCGGAGAAAGCAAAGGAAGGCGTCGTCAACGTCACCCTGAGCAATTGGAGACTCACCCTTCTTTCTGGTTAGCGTAACCAGCGTCGCCTCGATGTTCCTCTTAACAGGAACGGGGAAAAACGAGTGCCGGCACCCCGTGGCTGTTTGACTTAATTTTACGAGGGGTCGCTTGGGGACATCGAGGGCGGTACAGTTAACCCCCCCACCGTATTCTGTGACGGCGTTTGGTAGGAGCTGGAATCCACGACGGCAGCTTACCGGATAAAAATTATCCGTTTAAAGTCGAGAAGCGCTATAAAAGTGTAGTTAAGCTAGTGCCTCGGAAACGGACCACCTATTACCATCTCCCTTGCCTCTCATTTGCCAGCCACCCTATTATAACTATAATTACTGAAATAGTCGGGGTGCGGTTGAAACTTCAGCGTATTAAGAAAAAGAATCTTTTAGATTACCTTTCTCCCTGTTTGGGGAGACAAAACTTGGAATTGTACATAATTTTGTAAAAAAAAAGTGCTCGAATTATATTAACGCGTTCCCTCTTTTATTTAGAAATTTGGAAAAAAAACGAATGACACGAGAAGAAAAATAAGTCATTGGTAAGAGAACTTTTCTTTAGAAGAAGAAGAAGAAGAGAAACGAAAACGAACGCGTTCGTCTGTGTGCTTTTGTATGCGTGGAAAAAAAACCAGCTAATATTTATGAGCCAACTGATCGGTCTCTGGTCTCCACTCGTAGATCGGATCTCACTAAATCACTGTTCGTATACGCCTAGGAAGGAACTAGTCGTTCCCTGGTCCCCTTTACTGGCGGAAGACGGGCGGAAGACGGACGGAAGACGGCCGTAAGGTCCAGCGTATGTTTCACGCAACCGCCAAGGAAGAAGAATAAAAGGAAAAAAGTATCGATCGATCGAGAAAAAGAAAAGTAAACTTTCCAACGTATGAGTGATCAACGAAGAGAAAGGGAGAATATGTATAAAGTATTCACGTGCGAGTCTCGTGATTGTGTATGTGGTCATCCAGTTGAAAGAGGTAGGGTGGTTTGATCTGATTAGCGAATATCGATTCTGTTTGACGACCCAACTGTCCGACTGGGTCACGGTGGCATTCTTCAGGGTCATTACGCTACTTTCATTGATATAACTCGACGATTTCAACAACCTTCTCAAATGATTTCTCCAAAATTTACTCAACATTCTTATAATGTTAATCAAACGAATAGAAGGTAGTTGTCGCTATGGCCATTCAACGTGGATCGAGGATCGAGGGTCTAGGTCAAGGTAGACGTCTTCGTCATCTCCTTAGTTCCGCGTCCCACTGCAGCTTTCGTTCATTCGTTTATATGGTGAATATGGATAAGAATGTATGATGTATAGCGTGTATATACATATGGAGAGAGACGGTACTCGTGTGTGAACGTGTACCAGCTACTGTATCTATGTAGGTACGGATATAACCTATGTGCCGCGTCATCAACCACCGCGAACCTACACCGTCATCAGAAGTGAAAGATGCTGGCGTCGCCAAATCTTCCCTTTCTCCACCTTCTCTAACCGGTGAGAGTAAACGTGACGTCACCAGCTTAAAGCTGCTAGACGAAATGAGGAGGACCGATTGATTTGTCCTTTTCATTTCGTTCACCTTGCCCGGAAAGGTAGTTCAACATGGAACTCCTCTTTCTCCAGGCATTTCGTTAAAAATAAGAATTTTCATTAGATTTTCTAGCGACTAGGATTGGTATAATTAACTATGAGTCTCAGGGTGGTCCTGGACCGTTCGAACTACGAACTCTGGAAAATAATTAACGCTGCTCGTTAATTTCTTCGTTATCCCACTACTATACATCGTCCTACTCGAGTTTACACATTGTTGTGTACGATCAATCGAATGACATCAGACACCCTATATTCTAATCTAATCGTTGGAGAACATATCAGAGTGTTGCGAGCATACCAACAGTTATGCGTGTGGTCCGCGATAATTCCTAAATGTGATATCAATCCTTCGAAGGAAGTGCGATTAACCGGTGTAAACAAGCGGTGACAAAACAATTCTTGCCAGAGTATTTGAACCTGCACTCTGATACAATGTAACTGAATAATTATTAAATAAAATAAAAAAGTAAATAAAAGCTGCCTTGAATATTAAGTTGAAACCTACTTCCCTTTGACATTTTATAAAATCCTTGAAACTCTTATTCCTAAAGTGAATCTCAAAGTGCGGTGTTCTTTTAACCGTGAAAAATTTACGAAACGACGATGGTTCGTCTAAAATTTGTTAAGTGTAGACGTGTTTGCCATTATTTATCTAAAATTGACTGACATAGTGGAGAGAGAAAAGGTAGGTGAACGAGATGGTGCATCACGTAGCGAAAGAGGAAAGATCGAAGGGGCAACGTGTACGTCACAGAGTAAGGGGGTGTCAGAGAGGAAAGCCGCACAAGGGGTGACGGCAGGAGATAGAGATAGGCCACGATGTCCGCGTGACTTGACAATAAAGCTGGTCTCACCTCTAGTTCGTTCCACAGCCTTCTTTTTCGTTCCTCTCCACGACTTGTCCTTCGTACACGATAAACCCTCTCGCACTCGGTCCATCCGTTTCATCCGGTTCGTCCGCTCCATCCGCTTCATCCGATACACCCTCGACACCTATGAGGCTCGTTCGTTCGCCATTGACTAGCTATCGCTTGCCAACTGGCTGTTACGAAACCTGATACTTCGAGTCTCCTTGTTTCTATTCAAAAACGATGCCATAGCAACGATTAATCGACGAATCTTTTAACTTTATCTTTGAAAAAATTCAGTAATACAATTGATTATCATCTAAACGAGACAAACGCGTTATAATGTTAACATTGAGAAGAAAACTAGTAGGAAGCTGGTTGAAAGAGCGATCAGTCAATCTGTCAGTGTGACGAGCGACGTCTGTTCAGAGGGTCGGCGAGGGTCGAAGACAAGCCCATTGTCAACCGACCCCTGCGGACAAGTTAGTTAAATCCTCGTTAGAACTTTATCCACCTTGCCGCTTGACAGCCGCTGAAAACGCGCTTTACTTTTCGCGCTTCTAATCGTATAACTTCGATACCGGTCATTCGATCCGTCGATAATACATTTCAACGCGTTCAATTAAATCGGCAAACATTTATATTATTATATATGTCCTGCGTGATTGAAATATACAAGTAGGTAATAAATAATCGAGGATAATCTGATTAATTGTGCTTGACCAAGTGTAATTTGGCCAAATTTCTGACGATCGTTGTTATAATTGCGAACAGAATTATTCGCGTTCGCGATTTTACGGATATATGTATGTACATACATATATACATATGTAGATATGCATGGTCTTATGAACGGTTCTGTTCCACGTCAAGCTAGGCTGCGGGTTTCACCGAAAGAGGTGAACGTTTTGTTTACCGACGTTCCATCTCGATGGATTCATCGTCGAGCGGCGGTGTCAGCAGAAACGGCGTTGCAAATAAAGTGAGGGAAGCGAGAACGACGGGGCGGTTGTTCGTTCATGAAAACTGGTGCCAATGTTTCGCGTTTTCAAGCCTACGAGCCAGCCAAATGTTCCCGATAAAACGATCCTTCGATTTAAATTGCAAACTCCTTCTATTTTTATTACTTATGCTAATTAAAACCCTAATTTCATCGTTTCTTATTTTTGATTTCCCGCATAGAGGAATATGAAAAATAAAATAATTGTTTCTCTGGTGATATAGAAGACCGAAGAATCAAATTGCAACGACAAGGTTGTAGGAAATGAAATTCATCGAAATTCGAAACTGTTCGCTGCACGTGTAGCAAATATTTCTTCCCCAGAGTTACCCTGAGGTTAAATGACAATGGCAAAGAAAGAGACAGAGAAATGAAGTTTGTTGGTGCATAAAGAAAAAGGAAAAGAAAAAAGAAAAGAAGTGGATTCCATATCCAATGCTCGTGTCTGCCTCTCAAATGAAATGCTGAGCCTGCACATTGCGCGTTACACCTAGAATCACGCGAAATGCGGACCGCTGCTAACCAGAATTTTACGTTCCATAGTCTTTTCCCTGATCGTCTTTCTCTTTTTTCTCGTAGCCCTCGTTCGGCTTAATTAAAAGTTTCTACCTTTTTATATCTATATTTCTGTATTAATCAATCTTAACGACCGTGTTCGTTAAACCCTCGGACGGTCGATGCTGGGTCATTTTTTTCTATTATTATAATTAAAATGATTAGAATATCTGATAGAAAAATTTCGTATCATTAGACCCAGCATTTTTCGCAAGCGAGAGTTAATTTAAAATAATTAAAGGTGTAAAAAGTGATATAAGAAATTAATTATGTAAGCAGCTACTACTTCCATAAAAAATAAAAATAATTAATATAAAATAAAAAACCTTTTCACGTTGAAGCTGTCTACGTTGATTCTTTGTATATTCTAAGATACTGCATTTGCCATTTGGATGCGAAGGAAAGGAAGACTGCGGGAACACTCGGGTGAAAAATACTGCCTGGTGTATCTGAAACTGCCGATATCGACATTTATTTATAATAAGAAGTATAATAATTATTTTATGTACATATGAGACGATGTAACGGGAATTAAAACATTCTTAGGTCGAATCAGATACATCTCGGTCGAAAGAAACGACTGAACGCAATCCAACGCGACAAAACAATAATATATTATTCAATAATACAGTGGCATAATTTTTGCATTCATCGCACTCGATGTGAATATTGTTTTCATTCCCCTTAAAATTGTCTGAAATATTCAAACAAGATCACTTCGAAATTTCCATTGTTACATTTGCAAATGTTCATTATTATATTTCCTACAATTATTAGAAACAGCGATTATTGTTTTATAAAGAGTAGAAATGTACAAAATTTACGCCACTGTTCAACGTAAAAAACAATAACGTAATCCCCAGGAGGGGATTATACAGAAGTATGAACATCCCCTAAAAAAGAAATTTAAAACTTGACCAATAATAATTTACAGAGCTACCGTATACAGATCATTTTGTGCCATAAGTACTAAAACGATATCACTGTCGTGTTAGTACGAAAATGTACTGACACGGATTCTTTTTTTTTTTTTTTTATGCATATCTGACATTGAGATCCATCGGGTCCCGCGTCAAAACAGACATTCTCACCCCTTTTCTTACACGTCACGTGTACACGATCGAACACATTCGTAGATGATAAAATCGGAGCCCGTTAATTAATCGAATTCATTTATTAAACGCGATTCAAACACCGCATCGCGAAAATTTCCATCAGGGCTTTTTATCTATCGATAAAATGTACGTTCGATATCGTAACGATGCATAATAACTTCGACACACGTTACGTTCCACGCGTGTTAACTAGATATAAAAAAAAAAAAATTTGTGAACGAAAATAGAATGAGAGAACGATCGATTTGAGTAGCGGATTAATACATTTCAAACTTTCGATTTACATTCGCTGTGTGAAGATTGTGAATTTAATTGCCAAGCTAGTAATTAATATTTGATAGAGCAAATAAAAGCTATTCAGATCGATCGTTCAGAAATGGAAGCGATTCTTTTGTCTAAAAATGAAATAACAAATAGCATCATTCATATTTTATCTTTTGAGCTACGACAAAGTACGATTTTTCTTCTTTTTTTTTTTTGGTATTTTTTTCCTTTTCATTTATTTGGTACAGGTAAAGACGTTCAGTCTACCACGAGCATATATTTATATTATCTATGCGAATCAAACTAATTACCTTTAATCTAATGATACCTTAGTTGCGCTGGAGATTCCACGACGCGATTTAGAAAGTCAGTTTAACAGTCAAGGCTCTCACCGTAGCTTAACAAAGCTATGGAAATAAGGAGAATGTCAACTCATTTCAGTATACACGTAGACCGGAAGATGTGCATAAAGAGTTTTTCTTTTTTTTTTCATTTTATTTTAGTCTCGATTGAAAAACTGCTTCTCGAAGGAATAGTGGGTTGTCTGCCTGGTCTATTCAACCCACGACCAACCTATGTCACTGTGAACAAATTTTTGTGAAGAAAAAAACATATCGTTACGATTTGCGTTAGCTGTATATTTTCTTTATCTAAAATCACGATTACAGTATAATACGGAAAGCTTAAAGGATTTTCATTATAATGCAAGGATTTACGCGGGATTACAAGTTGATCCGACGGAAAATCTAAACGACAAAATTAATTCGTTACCGAGTCTAACGAGTGTTTGCCCAGTATGTATAATATTGAAAGGGTTAATATTCAGGAAAAGATGGTAATTAAAAGAGAAAAGAGAATTGTCACTTACCAAGTGAAAACTTGGCGATCACACGACGGATATCTCTTCAGGTCCAACAAGCGCCACCTCGGCGCTGTCGATGTCACAGATAAACTTCCGGACTAGCCGGCGCTGGTTGATGTTGTTGTTGTTGTTGTTGCGGAGGAGGTTGTTGTTGCTGTTGCTGCTGCTGCTGCGATTGCTGTTGCTGTTGATTCGGCGTTTGATGTTGTTGCGGTTGTGGCTGTTGCTGTTGGGATGCCTGTTGCTGATGATGGTTGTGATTGTGATTATGATTATGATTCTGTCGCGTTCTCAGGATCTCGCAACGTTGCTTGTAGAGATCACGTTCCTGCTGGACACGAGCCAGCTCGATCTTGACTCGTTGAAGTTCGTTCTGCAGGTTCCTGTTCGTCGTTTCGAGGTCGTGGCGTTGTTGTAACCGCTTGCTACGACAATTCTGAGCGTAGCCACGGTTCTTCAAGGTCCGTCGCTTCTGCTTCAAACGCACCACCTTCGCAAAACAACAGGATCCGTTTTATGGAATCGAATCGCCGCTAGATCAAGCGGAAGTCTATTGGATACCATGGAATTGGTATCGATTGATCGTAACATTTACATTAGAAAGAAATTTATTTTTAAAGTATCGTCAGCATTGTAGTTAACTTTTTCAGGGATCTGAAAAGTATCAGAAATATAGCGTCGCGTCAGCCTGTACGTTTGACTAATGGTTGACTCGTACTACTGCGGCTAGAGACACCGATGCACACCTACTCCAAGAATTATTCTATTTTAATGGTCACAACGACTTTTCAAAATTGTAAACTAAACATAGGTTAATGCGCGTGAAAGTTATTTAAAAATATGAAAAAATAGAAAAAATTTCCAATTGTTCATTTGAAAGGAAACATTACCTACGGGGAAATGGTGTTTAAAAAGGTAAGAGACCTGACTCACCTCTTCCCGCGGGCAACCGTGAAGGCGTTTGTTTAATTCTCGAACAGACAGGGACATGAGTAACTCGTCGTTCATGAGTTCTTCCTGAGGGTTGTTGCTGGCACAATTCGAGTAAAGACCATTGCCTGTTCTGTGTGCTGGGCTAGGTCCTCCCGCGCCGCAAGAACTCACTGAACAAACGCTCATCGGTCTTCCCGGTTGCATGGGTATCCCTTGCATGCTATCCTCCATGCCCGACATTCCACTTCCGCCCGCGGGAAGCATCCCGCCACCTGCGTTCGCACCCCCATAGTACTCTATGTGACCCGACATCGTGATGTATCCACCTGCGACAACAACATTTGTCGACTTCGAATTCATATTCCTGACGGAAAGTTCTTTCGCACATTGCCACCCCGCAAACGTTGCAAATAATTATTGAAAAAGAAAAAAAAGAAATCACGCGTATAGGCGATGGGTTAATTTTGCGTACTTCTTAAAGTATACTCTCTCTCGTCTTTAACTCACGTTTGTGAGTTAGCACTTTGAGGGCCGAACTTCGAAGGCTGGTTTCGTACATTAACGCGATCAATCACGATTACTGCAAAATTTTCCCGCTTACCAGTATGTCTAGTGTGACGCTGCAGTTGTTGCAGCTCTTGAAAATGATGATGGGTAGGCGTAGAAGGCCATGCTTCGTGATGAGGTTCCGGTGTTTGCTCCTGAGGACAATGAGGCCTAAGGTCGAGCGGTTCCTGCCTGAGGGTCTGCGTCAACCAGCCCATACCCCCGGTACCTGGTTGCATCTCGTCTTGGACGATGGAATTAGGTTGTTGCAAGTGCAAGAAAAGGCCCCTTTCTCGGGGATCCCTCTCGCCCCGGTGCAATTGCAACGGCGGTGGAGAAGCTGAAACCGGAGGTGTGTCCGGTGGTGTTCCAGGATGGGAGAGAGTGGTTAAATGAGATGCTGTACCCGGCGGTGCCTTCACCAGGACGCCGTGCTGCACCTGTATGTGCGGCTGCCCGTAAAGGGGATGCGGTTGCTCGAGCTCGTGCGCCGGCGGCGTTAGGGGCGCCAGAGCTAAACCTTGTGCTTGCACCTGACCAGGTAGCTGCACCACGCTACCGTTCACCATCATCGGTGAGCTGATTCGTACCTACGCCAAGAAGAACACAAGTTGTTTCATATTCGTTTCAATTTTCTCCTTGAACCCCATAAGTGCAACGTGGACCCGTATCGCACTCGATATGGTTAATATCAATTTCAAAATTAAGTAACGATGATTTAATGTAGATTTAACCTTCGAACAGCGATGCTAGTGAATCGTTACTTAAATTGGCGCACCTATGATCGACTTGTACTACTGCGGCCAGAGATGTTAGGTCTACTCTACTCTTTTCTCAAAATTCAAGAGAAAAAAACATTTGAATGGCTATAGTGAAACGTTTAACGAGTACAATTCTTGAATTTGTTTTCGACGGTTCACGTTTCAAAGCTTCGGCATTTTTAAAATAATAATACTGCACCGACGTTCATTGCCCAATAGGTTCAGTATTTATTTACCGTTCTGAATTCACGTGGACGAGCACACGGTCTCACATTTTCATACAAATTCGCATCGTAATAATTTCAAGTTTATACGATGTAAACAGTGCACGTGACTTCATTTACACGCGCCATTTCAACGTCGACAGAAATTATCAGCGCGTAACAGATAACCAACCACACGTGAATTAATTCGTCTTTTTCTCTGTTGAAAAATACGATGCTAAGCGACGCGACGGCTCGACGCGTGAATGATAGTTTTTTTTCTAAATACAGAGAAATTGAATTTCGAAACATTAACATAATTATAATTGATAATTTTATTAACTGTTATCTTACTACAAATATCCAATTCTAATGTATGGTATTTAATGTGGAAACTTTCTCGATAATGGATTAAAAACCTCCTGATTGATAAATAAGCAATATCAAATGGATTTTTAAATTAAGAAATTTTTATCAAAGAAAAAATGAATAAACATCAAGGTATAATAATACCTCAATGTTGTCACAACAACTTGGAAGATAATCCTTTTAAAAATAAAATAAAAATAAAATTAAGGTGGTAATATCTCTGTTTCATCGACACAGTGGGTAACAAGCAAATAGATTCACAAATAGAAGAATTTTTTAAAAGAAATTATGAATTCTATTTCAAGTGAATTTGATTGAATTAATAGAGCCAGGTCGAGAACTAATGTCTGTAGTTAAGTGTTGAAGAAAAAATGTAAAGTGCTAACCTCTCGTTTGACGTCGGCGGGATCGAGATGATCGAGAACAAACTCCTGTACGTATTCCCTTGCGAGATGGTCCTCGGCTTCCATCTTAACCTCGTCGACCTCTACCTCCACCTCCTGCGCCTCCACCTCCTCTACCGTGTTCGTTCTGGCCGCATACGGGAGCGTCTTCTCGCTGCCACCGCCACCGCCACCACCACCTCCGTCTCCGCCTCCGCCTCCGGCTCTCACACCCTCGCCACCTCCTGGACAACTTGTCACCGTTTGTTGCGTCGTGACCACCTTTCCAGACTCCGCCTAACGACCCTACACCGGTATTTACAGTTTCCTCGCGAACCTGACACCGATTATACTACGCCACGTGAGCAATAGCATTCATTTTCATTACAGAATTCACTGATTATAATTATTCTTGATAAAATTAAGTAGAGCCCTTAGTAGTCTTTACAATTTATGCCACCATCGTTCCACGATTATTTCTTTTGACCAATCAAAATCACTACACGTTCCTGAACATCTGTTAAAACATCCACTAACAGCACTGTCACTTCCACCACACTGTTACTCGCTTTTCCCGCCAAAAAGCAGTCTCCTGGTAAGAGATCTCAACTTCCGATCTATCTCCTTCGTCTCCAAGGTGTACCGTAATGTGTTAAACATTCAAACAGTGCAGATACTAATGCGTTTCTAATTCATGGACGGGCACGATAAAGTATAAATAAATGTTGCTTTAACGCGATCCTTTCTGATCGAACGAAACCGCGCGGTACGCGATTGAAAATGAGAAAAAAGAAGAAGACGACGACGCCGCGTGGTGAGCAGCGTCGAATACGTCGTCCAAGTGGTGACTGGCCTGACGAGTGTAAGTGGAATGCGAGTTAACGCGCATGACAGGCTGACGTCACGGGTAGGCGTGACCGCCATTACACAACCCTCGGTCGGCTGCAACGATTGGCTGGAGAGACAAGGAGTCGCCATTTGCACGCTCCTAGGTTGCCCTACCACCGTGACCACCACCTTGTCACTCCCGGCACGGATTCCGTACCTCCGCGGAGGTACCATTAATTTCTAAAGTGATTATTATAATTTTTCACCGGTCTCTCCTCTTTCTCTTTCTTCGACGATGACCCGTGTTCCCCGGCGATCACCTCCTTCTTCTTTATTTCTCCAGCATTTTAATTTAGAGAACGATCAGTGTGTAAAGGGTGAACCCTTATCGCGCGTCCACGATGCGGGGCTGCGATTTTCGTTGCTGCGAACGCACCTGAAACATCGAATGATGTATGCCGATGAAATATGCTGACGGTCGCATGACCGAAATTAGGGAACGCGGAAGTCGAAACGTGCTTTCCACGAATTCTGGATATGAATGAAAAAAAATTCTCTATGTATTTCGGTTTCATTCAAAGTTAGCTAATAGAATAATTAAAAATATTACGATCGTGATTGATTTGAAATAATCCGAGCAGGTGAGCAATTTTTTACGATAAAAAAGTTTGAAATTGGGAAAATCGTGGGGAAGAGAGTTGCAACGATGAATAACTGCTTTACTGTTACACAGAATATTCTCTTTGTAATTGATTCCTGAATAAGTCATCGTTACTTATTTATTGCAATTAGTTGAAGTATGTAGTCCTGAACGGGAAGCATTAATTTAAATAGGTACGACAGACATTATAATTTCTTACCTCTTTTCAGAAAGGAAGCTTTCAGTTTGCAACATCTGCGGGGATGAAACGAGCGACGGGCGCGAATCACGAACTCGCATCTAAATAGGTTTCCACAAATGTCTACCCCTGCTTAGCAGTCTATATTCTATACCCATTCCACGGATGGCACGACTTTAAAATGCTTCATGAATATCAAATTTTCGTTCTCTCGCGCGCCTCCCTCGCACCCTCTCGCACCCTTTCCATCTTCCCCTCGCCCCTGTCGGACTTATTCTTTTTCTTCTCATTTCCACCCGTTTCCAACGCTTCGAAACAAATTTCTCCCCTATGCAGCGATGCACTTTCCAAAGAATCTCTTCTATCATAATTGTTGCTTGATAATATATTCGTATTTCTTATAGGTCGGCTACTTACCACTTCCATATTGTCAAGTGTAAATGAACATCGAGCTCGTGTGAACGACCTGAAATGAAAAAGAAGGTCATCGAAAAATTGATAATGGAAAATAAAGGAGAAAAAATCAAAGGGAAAGGAAGGAAACTTTAAGGTCTATCCATGCTTTAACCTAGCAGGCCAAGGTGACAAGACGGACAGAATTTTGTTGGTCTAGACGGCAAGTGTCGCAAAGACCCGGAATAGAACGGTAAGGACGACGATAGGATTGGCCATTTTGTTGAGCGAGGAATTTGTCGACGCTGCACTTTGACATCCTCTGCCTGCCGCGTCGCGCCGCGCCGCATCGTTTTCTTTTCCTTCCCTTTACATCGCACACCCTGTACTCGATACTCGATTCTCGGTATAACGAATCAGACAAATTTTCCATTCCTTTGAAATTCAATGTAGCAACCGACTCGAAGAAATCATCACACCTGTTCGGTAATACCATCTGTGCGACTGAAACGACTTTTAGAAGTTCAGCAAAGCATATTTATGTAAGTGGTATAACTATTACATCATGGTATTGATAATCTATCGCTAACCAAAACATAGTGCGTTGCACGCGTGGATAAATGTTAACGATGCAACATTTTTCAATTTTCTAGATGATAAAATATGTATTATAAATAATAAACAAATTAATAAATAGCGTTGAAAATTTTCTTGCGTCAATTCCAAGTACTTCTGATTTCATTTCGAAATCAAAAGTCAATCGGTAAGTCAAAAGATTGATCTATAGCAGCTGATGAAAGGTCGCGTGGGTGGTGGTTGGATCGCAACAAACTTTTACCGTAAGATTTATGGGAAGCGATTGCATTCGATAGCCAAACATGGAAGTTCCACGTCTTCTCCGGCTCTTCTCCGAGTCATCTCCAGGAATGAATCCGTCGCGTCGGGTCGAAATGCTCTTTTGATTTTAACTCCAATGCCAATCTCGGCCATTTATCCATCTTCCCATGGATTCCAGTCGTTCGACGAACGACTCGAAATTACCGATATATCCAGAACTTTGTTCCTCTATTCATTCCTCTGACTGTAACCGGTCTACTCTCTACTTATACGTCTCTCTTCGCGCAGTAAACGAGACCCTGAGAGTAAATAAAATCGCAGGCACGTGGCATTGATCGTTCGTTTAAAAAGAGTAATGGATAAAATCCGACTCTCCTAATCTTTTTCCTCCGTCAAAAGACTAAGCGATTCATGTTAATTCGATGACCTACTCATCGATTAAGTAAAAACAACATTTATACTGTATCTCTCATTTTTCTACTTATTATCACTTTTGTATTACGGCCGATTTCAAAACATCGAAAGTCTGACACGTCTTTATCCCATAAAAGTATTATAAATGAATGTAGCATGTACCAATATTTGATGATTCAGTACTGATTCAATCGACGCGAACCTCTTTACCTGATGAAACGAAACGGTAGTAGAAAGTAGCCAACTACCCTTCTTGCCAGAAGGGTAAGATACTACTGTGTTTCTACGTTAATACTTATTAGCATGACCTATTTGAATGAACATGTTTGGTAATATTATCCAAAACCTTGTTTCAATTACATTATATTGAAGGAGACTGTCCTCCTCCCCAATTCTTTCATTTTTTCTCTAAATTAAAGTCATACCGTTGAACACAATAATATTCTTAGTATGTGTGATTATAAATGAAGCAACACTGGACACTTGATACTTCTAACAAGAAAGACTGATCGCGTGTCCATCCCTAGGAAAAGAAAATTCCGGTTACACGAATCGGCCGGAAGGGGTTAATTTTTTTCGGATGCAAATAAAATGTGATTAGCCGTGACTAGGTGGCCTTAAAGAGTAGGTTAAGTTTATGAACGCGTTTCAGGATGAGAGCGGGACTAAGACTACGAGAGGAGCAAGAGTAAAGGTGGCTGGCAGCAGAGGGAAGAGGAGGAACGAGGAAGAGTGCTGAGCCAGCATAGCTCGCTTGCCAGCCTGCACATCGATACCAACCAGTCAGCCAGCAAGCCAACCTACCTACAACACTTCATAGCAACCTTTTTTTCCTATCACGATACGTTGCATATGCGATAATTTCGCTGAAATTGAAAAGCTATTCTAACAAATGAACAAGTTCATTTGCTTTCGAGCAAAGATAACGATAAAGACAAAGACGAACAACGGAATATCCTTGGACGGTAGCATCGAATACGTCTGATGTCGCAGTGAAAGTTACTTAAATTGGTCAGACGTACCATGATAAATCAGACCTACTAACATAAACGTATATTTCTCACGATCAGATTATATTTAATAACCGTATCTATAACAGGAATCAAAAACAAGACCTTCGTACCTTATCAGCTTAAAAAGAAATATCAAACAATAGTCTACTGAATCTTTAGAAAACGAAGTATAGAATAAATAGAGAAAAAGAACGAATGAAAGAAAATCCAGCTCGTCCACGCTAATATCAATTCCTGAAGGATCCAGCGATCCACTCGTGGGGTATTTCGAGCATCGCGAAACAAACTGATATATCCCCTGATTCATTCATAGGAAGAGAAAGAGCCTGACGAAGAGAGTAAAGGTTGGTAAGATGAACAAAGAAACGAATCGAAGAAGGGTGAAAAGAAAAAAGCACTAGCGATGGATATCGATACGATATGTATTGATAATTAACTCATCTCAAAATCTAATTTAACTACTTACTGAAAATCTGTATAATCCAAAAATTTCGACTTCTCCCCCTCCCTAAGTAAAGTATCAATCCCAACTCTAGTTTCACCAGAGTGTAACAGATAGATAGGTATTATAGATAGAGAGAGGAGAGGAGAAAAAGAGGAAGAAAGGTTCGACGGATAATCCTTGGAGTGATTTGTCTGCCGGCTGTTGAGACGCTCATTTGTTCGTGGCGCGATGACAGATGACGGATGACAGATGACAATGAAGTAGAGATCATGTCGTAGAGCGTTGGGGCACGGGGAAGGGAGAAATGGGGGTGGAAAAGGCAGCAGCACCCCTTGCTACGAGGATGCAGATCTGTTTGCCGTTCGTGCCTCAATTATTCTCGGATGATCGCTGTGTATCGGGCAAGGGAACAATCGAACCGCGGTATTTGTGTCGCCGTGATTAAAAACATAATGTTCCGGTAAGTAAGACCGGAAGAACCGTACGTGCCTGTATACAATGACAGTTTGGTCAATTTAAAAGATTAACTTCGGAAATCGGACTACTTGAAACGATTTACTTGTTGGATCGGCTAAGGTAATCGAGACGTTTTAAATTCCAATATTTGTCTGCTGGGTTTATTAAAATAGAAGGAATAGAATAAAGTTATCTTCTTCTATAATAGAAGAAGCGAGCACAAGTTTATAAAGCCGAGAGAAATACAAAGAAGGATAGGGGAACCGAGCCACTGGTGCATTTAGCCACTTCCGGATCACGTCGGAAGTTCCGTCATATTTGTCACCAAGCTGTTATTAATGGCTCGTTTTTATTGTTTCATCGAGGAAGGAGAAGAAGAGACTAGAAGAACTATCGTTTCTCTTCCCTGGCTGGCTATTAAATTTAATAGCCAATATCTCCCCTATTGCTGCCACTTTTTATACGCCCTTTATCCCTTTCCAATTCCTTCGTTCACTTGATTCGCCTGATTTTCGCAAACCGTCTCGTTGCCCTTCGTTATCTATTAAAATTTCTCTTGCAAATGACCGTTATCAACGAGTAATTTATCGTGATCGCGGTATGAAATATCTCAGCGTGTTAAACAACGGAAGATCGTCGTAACTACGATCCCCTACACGAGGGGATCTTGCTTCTCGAAATCAACTAACGTTCCTGGTAAGGATTTATTAATAACCGATTCACAACTAGAGCCCTTGTATTCGTTTGCTGACAGCGATCAACTACCGATTGCGAGAATCGCACGATCCCGTTGCATTATGCGCAGCGACGATCTTCTTAACCGTGACTTCAAAATAACCGACCTTCGTAACATCGACGTAGAACTTCGCGAATTTTTTCCTTGCGAAGGACACAGCCGCGAGATAACGACATCGTTAATCCTGAACCGTACCCCGCTTGATAAGAGAAGTATCGCGTTGAAGCGCGAAAAATAACACGATTATCAACTTGGCTAGAAAAGTTTCTACAGACTATACAGTTCTAAGATTCTAAGATTCTTCGCTATCCGAGTAGGTCATCAAGAGCATACTAGATCTACCTGTTACACGGACGGTAAATTCAAGAACACGAAATTATGAGTGGTGAAATTTTGCTATAAAACACGATCAAACTAAAGTTCCGTCACGTAACGCGAAGCCACGGCATGATCCCGCGAGGTGAAAAGAAGAAGAGGTAGAATAGTGGTCGGGTGTCGGGTCGCATCTAGTATCTGCAATCAACACTCGCCTGGTTCCAGTGACGTCACGTCCGGCCATCTGCCGAATAAGCAAAAACCGCGTAACCGGACTCTATCGTAACTGCGGCAAACGATTTCGAAAAAGAAGAAGGAGCACGTGTCCCCGTGAAAAGAACACGAAGGCGTGGCAACCGCCTTAATATTTCATCGCTTCAACTCTAAAATCTCAATTTCCCTTTCAACTTTCAAAATATCATGATACATTGTAACACATTGTAATGCATTTGTTGCGATAAACTATTTAACTTGTCAAAGGTTATCGGAAACAAATATGTAAAAAGAAGAAAAATCTTGACATTGTTGACCGTGTAAGAGTTAAAGACTCGTTTATACACGCGTAGATTTTGTAATAGCTTTTTTTTTTTCATTTTGAAAAAAAGAAATCACCTACGACCTTTCCAAGGGTCGAAATGAGATCACGCGGTAAAGAAGCAGTGCCACCCTGTAGGAAGGCTCACCGATGATAGGGCAACGGGATTGTTGAATTAAGCCAGGGCCAAAAGGGTTAGGAGAACAAACATCGTTAATTTGCACGCAGAATCCCGCTGGCTGAGGCCAAAAGGTCAACATTAACCACGGTATGTATATGCTCGTCAAATACTCTGCACTGGACCGTGTAATCCAGATATTCGCGTTACCCGAGTACACTGAAGTTTCAGTTGCTCTCCGTGCTCTCTGCGCCCTTTCAGCCGACCTAATTGTCTAATTGGCAAATAAATCCCATTGTTTTCCAATGGTGCGATCGATATGTACACCACAGGAAAGACTTTTGTGCTCAACCGATAAAAATCGACGCGATGCGGTCTTTTATAACATCTTTCGGCTTCCACCATGTATTTTACACGGTGGGTGTCAACTGCTTTATGTGCCGAATCTATTGTACCACCCTTCCCTATCGCGCAATCACCCCAGCTACAAGGTGGACAAAAGGTCGGTGAATTATAAGGACTTGGAGAAATATAGACTGGCCCTTCCCCTTGCATTTGAAAATCCCAAACGAATGTAAAATATTTCATTATTTTCTTTAACGTGTCATCGAGAAATGACGCTATTAATACAGGATATTATATAGCTGATAAGGATCAGGTGGTTAAACTCACGTGAACAAGGACGAAACACTGGAGGATGGTGAACTGGGAGGAGGTAGAGTTGAACGATTATCAGACAATAGTTTGTTAGTAGGGTTCACCTGCTGTATTGTTCTCTGGAAACGTGGATTCAGCTTCAGTCCGCAATCGTTCCTTCTCTGCATTTAAATCGTTCGATATGTGTACAACCGATAATAGTCTGTCACGCGAACACTAATTACGATTTCAATTATCTAATACCTTTTTCCATCTTGAATTCTAAACCAGCTCCTTCAACTGTATCAAGTTATCAATTTTCTTCCTCGTTTATTAGCGTTTCCTTTATTTTCATAAGGTCACTTATGTTATATTTCCAACAAATTCTGCTACTTATGTCATTTAAGAAGGTACGAATATCAAATCTATAGCACCATTTTCATGTCTTTTTTTATGTATTAAAATTAAAAATTAAATTATTAGCCATTAACATATGACACTCTTTACAAGCTTCCTATACAATATACGTTTTATTATTTACATATTAAAGTGTGCATATTAAACTGTACATATTTTAGACAAATGTCATTATATATTATGTATGTATACCTGTACGTGGCTGAATGTTCATATTAAAATGTACGAAAAATCATTTCGCTGATACTCCGATAAGCTTCAATCATTTCTAATAAAGCAAAGTATATAATATCTTTCTTATCGCATCGCAACTGAAAAAATTACATTGCTGCGGTGACAATAATGCTATTATTAGCGAAGCAAACAATCACAACATTTCCTCGATATTCGATTAATAATCAATAGTTAGCCATTTGTCTGTAATTTGCTCTATCTGTTTTGTGAGAATTGGATTTCTCAAACGTATTTTCAGCTCTAATTTTCCACCTGTTGCTTTTCTTCCATCCATTAGCTAAGATAAAATGAAAATTCTTTAATTAAAATTTATTCGGATAAACCATTATATTCATAATCATAATTTTGATTACTTACCGGAAATGAATCATGAAGTTCACATTGAGTTTCCAAAGGCTGTAATTTCACCGTTACTGTACCTAACAGGCTGTCACTTCTAAAGAATCCTCTGAAACATACAAATTATAAACATTAATTGATAAATGTATACATATTGTAACTTAAAAGCTGAAATAATAAAAGCAAATACAAGAATTACGTTGTTACAGTTTGCTCGTGTAATACAAGTATTCTAACATGTACGAATCAAACTAACAAAATTAAACTAGCACATTATTTCTGCCACATATAAACTAAACATTGACAGTGAGTACTTTGTAGAAGCACGAAATTTTTCATACCTTGAATTAGTGCAACACAGGAACGGATTCAGCGAGCATCTGCAAGCAACGTACTAATCTATTTACTATTTTTATTATTAAACTAACAAATATACATATTCAAAGTATTACGTATATGCAACACTTCGCCTGATTATCGCTACTAAAAATTTAACTACTTTTTAGTAGCATAGTTAATACAATTCTATCAATTTTATAACAAAATATTATGGATATACATTTATACAGGTATCTATAGCACAATTAGAATATCGTAGAAATATTATCACTAATCAAATTATATTACTTATTTCATTACCCTTTTGCCCAAACTTGACATTTTAATGCGTGTCTTTTAAAAGCTCGTTGACATTGTCTCGAAGAACGATCTATTATACCGGTCAGTGGAAATACAGCTTGATATTCTGGGTTGCATGTTCCTTTAACAGTAATCGTTCTATCCGATGGAGGATTATCCGAAGGATAAGGAAACTCAAACATAACGTAAGTATCTCCCTCTTTTGAATAATTTACCCCTCTTATGATCGAAATTTCTATGTCAGCATCGCTCAAGTCTGTACAACTCCTATAAAATAATAGAATCTTCTAAAATGATATTACAGTTCTATTACCGTGGTGGGGAGAAATTTTGCCGTACTAACTGGACTATAGCATAGGTTTTCGTTTCGTAATGATGTTGCGGCGATGGTAGAGCATCGCGCTTTCTTACTCTCAACATATCTAAATCTCTTTTATAACCCAATGCAAGTCGTTCCCACCTATTGTATCCAGGTACATCTCCTAATGCCTTCGAATGGTCTCTTGTACATAAACACCACTGGAACGAACAGGTTGATGATTAGTTAAAATTGATTAAAACATCGATTGATTTATATCTTTATTCTACCTTGATTTGTTTCGTTAACTGTGATTCTAGATTTTCATAAATTTCTTCGTCTGTTGCTGTTCCTTCCTCAAAATCTTCGTTATTCAGTACTATGAAACTATCATCCGTCTGACCAGTTATACTGTCTCCACTTAATTCAAACTTGGCACGAGGCGACAGTGGTATGGAATTCATGTCAACTGGTAATCCAGCTGTACTAGCTTCGATCAGTAGATCTATACCTTTTGCTTGCCTTAAATAGTTACGTGCCAATTCTAGATCACCCTCTTTTTTCGCATTCAGAGCAGCTTGTTTTAATTCGTGTTGACGCTGTTGCAATAAAGCTGATTGTTTGTCAGCGCGTGTCTGTTTTCCTATTTGTTTCTTTCCTATTAGACAAAAATTGTCATCTCATTTATGATGATATAATGCTATACTTAAAATTTAACACTTTATTACCTCCCTGTCTTCTTGGAGGTGAAACGGGACTTTTTGGACTTGAATCAATTTTATTCTCAGCTGGTTCGGATTCTGGAATTGTTTCTGGTATTGACTCTGGTATTGGCGCTGGTTGATTTTCATTTTTCTCCACTGCCGGAGTAGACGCGCTAGATTGTGGGCCAAGTGAAAGAGGTGGAAAACCAGGTGGAGTAGGTAACTCATCCAAAGGAACAGGTTTTCCGCGAGTATGTAATTTAAGAGCATCTTCAAATTGCTTGCAAATACGACCATATCTACGAACTTTGGAAGAATTTCCTTCGCTTTCTGCGGCAGTTTTCATTCTTCTGTACACTTCAAGTCGTTCTTTTAAGGCAGTTTCTACATTTTCTAAACCAGCTGGTTTTACTTCTGCTCTTCCAATACATCATACAACATTACAATAATTTTTAATTCGCTTACATATGTCTATCATCAATTTTTATGTTACTTTTAAATTTTACCTGTAGATGCTGTTTCCGAAGACGACGTTCCTTGCATTTCATTTTCTATTCTTTCTGTTTTTTCAGGTGATACTGCAGTAGTATTTGACCCAGGTGTGTTTGGAGAGGATGGCATATCTGACAAATCAACTGTCTCTCCTGCATTTACTACTGCAATTACTTTGTCAAATTGTTTTACTACACTTATACATTGAAGAGCCTCCTTCATGTTACCAGCTCTTTTCCATGCCACTGCTGCCAATTTATATTCCCGTTGTCTATCTATTAATAAGTTTAATGCTTCTTCATCCACAGTTTTTGTAGGCATAGGCTCTTCAGGAGTATTACTTTCTATGGATGCAACAACTTCTGATGCGACATTGTTCTCTGAAAGACAAAAATATAGTATTATATTAAATAGCTGAAAATTACATCCAAATAGAAATAATATATTAAGTATTTTTTCAATAATACCTGGTTTTGATTCATCATTCTTTGATGCTGTTTCTATTGATTCTGCAGTAGCAGATGGAGGCAATTCTGGTGGTATATCACCTTCATTAATAACTCTTCCTGCCTGGACATTATGTAATAATTCTTTAAGCGTTTTAATGCCTCTATTAAATCTTCTTGCTCTTCCTAGATCATTTTCCTGTTTTGCCTTTTTCTCAGCAATTTGATAAAGTTTTAATCTTTCTTGTAACAAAGTAATTGTGTTTTGCATAGGTGTATCATCTTGTTGAGATTTAGATTGCTCTGTATTTTCTTCTTCTTCTGGAGAAACTTTCTCATCAGATTCATCACCTGTTATCATCTTGAGTTCACTCTAATGTAATATAAAATATTTAAAATTATTTCACATGCAATTACAACAATTAATTAATATAAATAAAGGACAATATATGTATTTGTACCAATAATTCTGGATCATCTTCTCCATCTGATACTTCCTCAACATTTATATCTTTTATACTTTCAGCTATCATTGCATCTAAAGTTGCTTTAGGAACTGGTTTACGAGCTGCTATAAAAGTACAATATAAAAATATATCAGGCTCCTGTAATTCATCAAATAACAGATAATTAGGAAATATATAAAAAATATATTTTCATCACTTTGTTTAGGTTTTGAAACACTGTCATCACCACTTGTTAAAGCTTCTAATTCAGCCTCTAAATCATCATTGTTGTCATCATCTTCCATAAATTCATTGCCTATGTTGTCCAAATTTTCTGGGATATCAAAAATTCCATACTGTTCGAAAACATTATTATTTTAATAAAGATCAAACCGTTTACAAAATAAGGTTAAAAGTACTAGAAGATAATACCTGTGCAAGGCTACCAGCAGGCCGTGTTTGTCGTTTCGATTTCTCTTTCTTTCCAAACATTTTACTTTATAAAATGTCTACTATTGCACATCAATTGACTGTTAGTAGAATATTAAAAATATTGAAGTGAACAAAATATGAAAGAATAATATGAACGTATCGCAGTAGCGTTCTATCACGTTCTATATATGCGTACTAGCATGCGTCATTCATAATACATAAATATACACATACGCGTCTGCCTACATATGTATACCGCAGTTCACCAGTTTTCGTTCTAGACCAGTTTTCGTTCTTCGCGCTTCTCCAGTACGCATCTTCGCCCTGATTGGCGAACTCCCAAACGAAGTGGAAAGCGATTAGCAGAGAGCTCGCTGCGTTCCCCCACCATCTTCCAACCTGCGCGTCGCAGTTATGAACTCTGGTGAACTGCGGTATATGTACATATATCGTACATACATACAATACCCAAAAGTTACATATTATTCGTTCAACAAGAAATCATTGTGAACAATTTTAAACGTTTTATTACCTTCCTAAAGAAACAATTAATGTTTTAAAACGTGAAATTTCAATGAAACAAGTTGGACAAATTCAAGCATTCGATAATCATTCGAGATGATGCTACCTCGAATAGATTTAATCAGTTTTCATGGTCTTTAGCTAACTTCTCACTGTATAGTCATATGATCGACACGAAAAAGGGCGAGTCCGATTTTGACTTTGACGGATCTGTGTTGGGAGTAGAGTAGTAATCGAATTGTAGTAAACGAACTCTCAATATGAAGGGCTGTATGTTCAACATTGATAATGGATATCTGGAAGGACTTTGTCGTGGATTTAAATGTGGAATCCTTCAACAGAGTGACTACCTTAATCTTGTACAATGCGAAACTCTTGAAGGTAAATTTTTAATAATTTTTGTATAGTTTTGAAAATTGTATAAATGTTTAATTATTTCAATCATCTCAGTATTTAGATTTTTATATATAATCAGCTTATATTTTATGTTTATATAGATTTAAAACTACATTTGGCTGGTACAGATTATGGAAGTTTCTTGGCTAATGAACCATCACCACTATCTGTTAGTGTAATTGATGATAAATTAAGAGAAAAACTTGTTGTGGAATTTCAACATATGCGTAATCATTCTGTTGAGCCTTTGTCTCAATTTTTAGATTTCATTACTTACAGTTATATGATTGATAATATTATCTTATTGATTACTGGAACTTTGCATCAAAGGCCAATTTCAGAATTAATTCCAAAATGTCATCCTCTTGGTAGTTTTGAACAAATGGAAGCTATTCATGTAGCAGCTACACCTGCTGAACTTTATAATGCTGTATTAGTAGATACTCCTTTGGGTATGATTTGACATTGTTTCTTATTAATTTTTTTTGATAAAAGAAATATTGTTATTGTAAAAATGAACTTTTACCATAGCACCATTCTTTGTGGATTGTATCTCTGAACAAGATCTGGATGAGATGAACATTGAAATAATCAGAAATACATTATACAAAGCTTATTTGGAAGCATTCTACAAGTTTTGTAAAGAAATTGGTGGAACAACTGCAAATACTATGTGTGAAATACTTGCGGTATGAAATCTAATAAAATTAACTATGTACATATGTGTATGACCTATAAAATAACAATTTAAATATAAATTACCTTTATAGTTTGAAGCAGATAGAAGAGCAATTATTATAACTATAAACTCCTTTGGAACTGAACTAGGTAAAGATGATAGAGCAAAATTATATCCACGCTGTGGAAAATTAAATCCTGATGGATTAGCAGCATTGGCAAGAGCTGATGATTATGAACAGGTCAAAGCTGTAGCAGAATATTATGCTGTATGTAAACAGTTTATTTCTTTAAATGAGAACTTTTAATTTTTAAGGATTTTATACCTGTATGTACATAAACGATATTTGTACATTTTTCCCCCAGGAATACAGTGCCTTGTTTGAAGGTGCAGGTAATAATTCTGGTGATAAAACTCTAGAAGATAAATTCTTCGAGCATGAGGTAAATTTAATACTATCACAAAAGTTAATATAACATGTTATTCCTAAATGTTACTGATCTTAAAATTTTCATCACAGGTTCGCTTAAACGTTCATGCTTTCCTTCAACAATTTCATTTTGGAGTATTTTATAGTTACCTTAAATTAAAAGAACAAGAATGTCGTAATATCGTATGGATAGCGGAATGTGTTGCGCAAAAGCATCGTGCTAAAATAGATAATTACATTCCAATTTTTTAATATGTATGTCTCTAAAGATTCTATCGATTATTTATGTTTAACTACAACAATATCACACAAAAATATTTTTCCTCTTTAATTTTATTCTTCAACTATGAATAACTAAGGATTCTACAGTATTCTATAAATAAAGAAGAGGAAGCTGTCAAATAGAAACAAAATAATGATTTAGTTCATAACTAAAATGAACGGCCAATTGTGTGTCTAGCTAAATTGAACAAATAATATTGAAAATTACTATTTAGTATTACTGTCATACATACAAAAAATGGATATCATATAGATGTAAATAGTGTATTTTATCGTAGATCGGTATATATTATGTTTGATGTTATCCGATGTTGTAATTATCGATTCTATTGTAATATAAAATAATATATAATGCATTCCATAAGTTTGAAAATTTGACTAAAATAACACGTTATATTGAATTTTTTTTTATTTCCCTAACCAAGGATCAAAATAAATTTTACTATGCTCATCACGCCTTTAAATAAACTTTCGTTACCATCAATTGTTCCAATAAAGGAATTTAATACTGAAATTGGATAAGTTTGAAAATATAAAATCCTAACGAAAAATGTTTGTTAAATATATGTGTATTTCTATAAAACACTTTCGTAATATATATGTATATACATATTTATATGCATATATCAGAAAGTACGTAAAAACATACATAGAAATATGCAATTTATGATATAAAAATATAATTCCTAACAAAAGTGATAAGATAAAGACTACCATTACATGAAAAATTTACAAAAAGTCAGAAATATATAAATATTTCCGAAATTCGTCATTCTTTCATTAATAATTAACATTCTATAGTACTACTGTTTTAAATAAAACAACAGAAAATTCTTAAAATTATTGGAAATAAATTTTCATTATTTTCCGTTAGGATATTTTTCAAATTTATTGTAAAATAAAAAAAAATGAGTAAACCACTGCTTATCTTCTACAAATTCGTTCACTTTCACACTGCATTTTTTCTCCATCCGATTCACGACTCATCGTAGGATGCGCGTCTTTCTTTATAGAATTTACATTAGGAACAGAGGATGGTGGAGTATTATTAATATGTTTTATATTTGCGGTCGGCGATGGTGTGGCATTATTAACTAGATTTGGGGGTTGATAAGTTGCCAAACTTTTTAATCCAATTACTTCTGGATTTTCCTTCCAAAAACGGTCTGCAATAATATCATCTACCAGTGGAACTACCGCTGGTTTTAATCTGCCTGTTCCATCGGGTACTAATTTCCTTATAAGTGTAGTACCCTTTCGAAAAAGTGGAGGCTCTTTGTTATAATTTATGCCAAATTCTTGAAACAGTAATTCATTCTTATGCGATGCTAATGTACCTCTAAGTTTCTCTTCTGCCTAAAAATTAAAATTATTTACATAAAATCTTATTCATTTAATTGTAATGCAATATATGTATAAATGTTAAACAACTTAAAATTACCTGACTTGGAGTCAATTTTCCTTGTAGTACAAGATTCCAAAAGCAGGTATTATATAAATTGTTCACATGAACATCTGTTTGCCGCCATGCTAAATAATCCCTCAAATTTTTATCTGTAGGATATAATACAACACGGGCATCAAAGGATGGTGGATAATATAATTCTTTGCCTTGAAAGAATCGAGGCCAATGATAAACATATGATGATGCAAAAAGTGAATTTACAATTGACATCAATTTTGAGGCTGAAACATAACAAAAATAATACTATAAATGGTATATTTATATTGATAAAAATTATATTCTGCATTTATTAATTGATGATTACTTATCTATCATTTTATACTTGTATGATTATGTATATTTCGGTATACACATACCCCTTCTTTTATGAAGTTGAGTATCTTTTCGAAAGACAAAAGAATATTCATCACTTTGACCAAAACCCAAAATGATCTCTTTGAAATCTTCCATAACTGTAATAGCCGCGCGATTCATCAATTGCAAAGCAGCTACATCATTCGGTTTAGTGAATTGATGTGCATCGCAAAATTTCGAAAAATTTCTTCCATCAATTCTAACCACGATCCAACAATTTGGTAAACAACAGTCATCACGTTCAAATTCTTTCACATATTCGAATTTACTTTTAGCCATTCTCGTCAAACTTATTTGCCGGCTATTGACCACTTGTTTGACCAAGCTAATGATTTTCAGGAAGTTGCTTCCTGTTGTCAGAAAATACATTTCCTGAAACTGCTGAATGTTGAAGTCTCCACTGTCGAACTCATTTTAGTTTCAAATGGTTTCAAATCATTTCAGATGTGTACAACTTATTCACAGAATATTTTCATTTAAAAAATCCTATTAATTTTTTATTATAAAATAAATTGGTCTCTGATATGTATGCATATATATGTTTATATCTTGAAAAACCCACGTGCGCATTGGTTAAGTATTTACATTTGTTCTGCTGCGTATAATCAACAAGCTAAGTGTAACACTTTGTTATATAAAACTTTTATTAATTAAGAACATTTAAATTAAATTAAATATATTCAAATTTTCAAATAAGACACCTCTATAAACATCGTACAAAATGGATCTACATGAACGTTATATGCGTTCAACAATGGATTTTTCAGTTTTTGAATTATCAGAAACTGCATTTAAAGATGACCCACTGTTGTTATTACATCGTATCGTAAAATATTACAACAATGAAATCATGAAAGATAATTTTGATACGAAAAAATTGGAAACATTTCGAATAGTATTATGTTATGAATATCAGCTTCTATTTAATTCCAAGGAAAAAAATATCAAAGTAACTGCAAGTGATTTATGTTTTAAAACTATAGAAAGTATTTTATTTTTGAAAAAGCATTCACAAAATTTTACTGAACATCCAATTTTATATGATATTATAATTTTACAATTAATACTTTACTGTAATTTACAATGTATTGAAGAACATTTGATGAATTTTCAAAAGTCAAATGTTGATGTCTTAAACAATGATGAGAGTAAATTTTTTTATATAAAAATTTTGGAATGTTTCTTAGAATCATTGCAGTTAAGACACTTATTATATAATAATGCAGATTTAAGCATATTAAAACACTTCAGTTTGTTGTATTTAAAAGATATAATAACATGGCTAGAAATGAAAGAAAATAAAGAATGGCAATTGTTTACTTCAATTTTTCCAAAATTAATAAGTACTTGTAGCTCTGAAAATATTTTACCAATTATATGGAATGTTATCTTAAATAAATTGGATGATTTTAAGGATTTGCTTAGTGCATTGAGTATTATAGTCAATGTATGTTTTTCATCTAATTTTATAAATGATGTAATTCATACACACTATAAATTATTTTATACAGAGCAATTATGGTTATTAATTATAAAGAGCTTAAAATCACCCATACAACAGTATCGTAAACAAGGATTATTTATAATGAAACATATAACTAATTTTATGAATATTACCAATGAAAATGTTTTAAAATTAAAAATACCTTCAATTGTTCCTTTTGTATGTGGTCAGAAAACTGAAACAAAGATATTAATAAAAGATATTAAACAAAAGTTCTTCCTAATATTAGATGCATTAGAGGAAAAGCAACATCATTTGATATTGCCTGCTTTGACAAATTTATCAACTTTAATAAAAGGTAATGAAGAACATACCTTATGTAATGATTGTTTTAACACTATTTGGTTGCAACTGATCTTCGAAAGAATATTGCAGCATGAGAATAATAACATAGTAAAACAGGGAGTATTGTTTGTTTGCAAATTATATACTTTTATAAATGACAATCAGTTTTTGAAACTGTTTGTACATGTTTTAAACAATACATTTCTGTATGAATGCCAATCTTACCAGGATGAACCAGATATACTGAGTAGTATCATAATATTATTTATACATGTAACAGAGGAAGAAACTGAATTTCCCAAAAGACTATTGAAAATAATGAGTGAAGAAACATGGGCTCCTATACCAATATTTTATGTGATAAAAGTTTTGAGAACAGTTACAAGTAAAACATTGAATCAGTGGGGAGATGATGAATTAATTTTAGTTAAATCTCTAGTACAAAAGAATTTAAACATGCATTCCCACATATTAAGAATTGCATCTCAAGTTGAACTTATAAAAATAATTTGTTTTTCTATAGAAAAAGTAAACAATTTGGAAATTGTAATAGAAACATTATTAGAATTTTCTTTGGAAGATACGCTTGTAAGGGAATCATTTTCATGGGAAATTGTAGTAAACTGGTTAAAAGAAGTATTAATAAAGAAACATGCAATAGATTTTATCAAATTTATATGTGAACAATTTTCAAGTCAAGATTCACATGTGAAACTAAGTCCTGCAAAGTTTGCTGTTGTAATTGCTATGTTTTATGATACAGGATTGATATTACAACATAAAACATGTGTTGTGTTTGGAATACTAAATAACTGGCTGTCAATACTCAATGGGATAAACACTAGACCTTATGTAAATCATACATATATATTTTATGCAATAGAATTTATGTCCCATTTATTTAATTTAAATGTAATAAAAACAGATGAAACTATCATACAACTTTTATCTTCATATTTTAATGATTCATTACAATTTTTGTTTAAAAATAGCAAAAGTATACCATATAAATTCAGTTATGAAGAAATCAATAAATATCTTATTATAATTGTTTCATTTCTTAACAATAAAAATTTAATTTTATCAGAAAAAGAAATTTTAAATCATGTTGAGAGATTCAGAAGTCAAAGTATATTTATTCTCCAGAATATAAAACAGTATACAAACATGCATTATATGTATGCATTACATATTTTATATCATACTCAAGAGATTTTGTATAAACATTGTACATTACTTTATGTGGAATCTTTATTGGATATATCTAATATTCACATGTCCAATAATGATCAAGATTCACATGTCCAAGATCAAGTAAATACTAAAGGAAAAATAACATCAAATTGTTATTTGTTACTTGCAAAACTTTTAAATCAATTTTTGGAAAAGAAAGAAATTCAATTATGGCCTCAAAATATTAATTGGTTTAAAAGTACTTTGTGTCTTTACGAAATGGGAGGAAATGAAATTGTTCCAGAAATTGCATCAATTCTAAAAACAATTATTAATAAAGGAGCAATAAAAGATATAGAAGATAAATTACATTTAGAATCTATTTTTACCTTATGCTGGAAAAGTACATTGTTAAGTAAAAAGAATAAGTTATACTTTATTGCAATAAAAGATCTTGTAGGAGTTGTTATAAATGATAATTTTTTGAAATTACCTGATGTTATGCACTTTGTAAATAATGTAAGAAATAAATTTTTAATTATCATAAAAACCAACATTGCTTAAATATTAATCATTTTATCAATTTTTAGTTTCTTGATCAACTACTTGAAGAAAGTAATAATGTGCCAAAATTAAAACAAATTTTATTAAATGAAATGGAGTCATTAAACACATGTTATTTAAAAAATTTACAAGAACCATTGGTATCGTGTTGTCTTCATGGACATGTGCTTAGAAGAGATAAACAAATAGAAAATCAGGCCTATCTATATGTCACACAAAATTATAGAAATTACTATCCACGACATATATCAATAATGTAAGTATTTTTATATGATTTCAATATATGTAATACATGTATTAATTTATTATCAATTTTATTATTAGAGATTACAATAATGATACTAGTGTCAGAGCACTCTCTATTATATTATTATACAAGATAATTAATGCAGATAAAGAGTATGCATCCATGTTACTTCCAATTGTTTTACAAAAACTAGAAAAATTTAGAAACAAACGTTATTTCAATCATTCTTATATACATAAGATAAAGCATCGAATTATGCAAATCTTATTGATTTTACAGCCAATCCTAAATAAGGTAACAAAACATTATGCAATTAATTATGAATAGTAATAAGATTGAAAGAAATATACTGATATTTTTTTTTATAGTTGGACATTGTTATATTAGAAGATTGTCTTTGCAATTTAATGCTGTTGGAAAGCAATCAGCATAGTATCAGATTAATGCAAGAGTGGATATTAATAAAAATTTTTGTAGAAAATATAGAACTGCATTACAAACTCTGGAAATTTTTTGAAGAGGTACAAATTTTATTTCATTTTGTTCAAATTTGTGTAAACCTTGGATCAATTTATTTAACAAAATAATTGTTTAGGGTATTACAACACGTCCAGGATGTGTTAGTTCTATAGCGTGTATCGTTTATCATGTTTCAAGGCTTCTTCCTAGCGATTCTCAGTGCGATTTTATTTTAATGGGAATTAAATACATTGCACATTGTTGTTTAGGGCAACAGTATAGTATGCGTCTTTATAACCAGGTAATTTGGGTATATTGTACATAATAGTTTATTATTACAGTATATTTATATATATATATATATATGTATTTTGTGTTTCATATAGATAATTTTTGTAAAATTGTATAAAATGTTGGAACAATTTAATTGTAATGACACTATAGTACAATATAAAGGATTATATGATGCTGCAATAGCAAGTTTGAAATATGGAAATTTAGCGATAAATTCAAGTAAAATTCAGGATGATTTTTATTTTTCAGTTTTTCATGCTGTGCATGACTTTAGTCTACAGGTAATATAACAAGTTTTATATAACGTTATTAGAATATAATCACTACAATATATAAATAATAATCTACTAATATTTATAGACAATTTATTTTGAACTCCCGCGATTGACTGATATGGATCCAAGTGAATGGATCACTCCAGATTTGTTTCAAATTCTGAACTTCAAAGAAACTATTAATCATCCTCTTCAACTTTATAATTTGAATACATTATTATCAGATACTAAAACATCATCTTATTTGATGAAATCTACAGGTATTTTGAAAATTATACTAATAATAATATATACCTTTCTTATTGACAATCTATTAAATAATATAAAATCTTTTAACACAGTTGATAAGGAGTCATCTGTAAAAAATTCTATGATGGATATTGAAGAATTAAATAACATTCAGAAAAAGATTGATCCTTTAATGCCTACAAATATATCACATAATGATATTTTTTCAACCATTAGAGAATCTGTTTCTCATAAAAGATTATCCGATGAAGATGGTCTTATAGTTGTAGCATGTCTCGTTAATCGAGCTCCAAATTTAGGAGGACTCGCCCGTACTTGTGAAATTTTCAATGTTAAAGAATTAGTTATTGCTAATTTAAATCAAATTAAAGATAAGGAATTTCAGAATCTTAGTGTATCAGCTGAAAATTGGATAACTATTACAGAGGTATTTTATCATACTACAAAATATGAAATTTCTGATGTGATAAAGCTATAAATGTTATAGGTAAAACCACATCAATTATGTAAATTCTTATTGGATAAAAAAGAGATGGGATGGTCTTTAGTAGGTTTAGAACAAACAGTTAACAGTGTGAATTTGATAAATATGAAATTCAAAAAGAAGACAATTCTTGTATTAGGGTAAGTGATAAAAAATAATCAAATGAATTCTTTTGAGTAAGAATAAACATTTTTCCAGAAATGAAAAGGATGGAATTCCTGCTAACTTAATATCTTTGTTTGACACCTGTATAGAAATACCACAAGCTGGTATAATTCGTTCATTAAATGTTCATGTTAGTGGAGCAATATGTATATGGCAATATTCAAAACAGCATGTATTAATATAATTTCATTTTTATATTTTGAATAAAAAATGAAACAAGAAAATAATGTAACCAGATGATAATGTAAATCTACAAAATTAAATTTATCTTTATGGAGAGATATATATGTATGTATTTATTTATTAGAATGACTATTAATTATACACAGATAGTGTCTATATAAATAATGCATTTTTAAACTTTATAACCTACGAGATGGCATTTGCCAATACATTCTCCAACAAAGAACCAACACAACACTTCAATTGTAACTAAAGTATTTAACCAGACTTCACGTACTGAAAGTTCAAGAATTCGTCCATTCTTTCCAGCAGATATAAGTTTTTTGATATCATTTCGAATAGCAGGAATGTCAGAGATCTTTGGTGGAACCAATTCTACTCTTGCATAACACAGGAATCTTCCAACAGCAGGTTTTGCGTTTACTGCTACAGCTGTAATAAGCATATAGCAACAAATTAATACAACAAATTATTAATTAACTGAAATTATTTATATAGTATACGTCTTTCCTAACCTTCAAATTATGTCACAGAAAATATTTTTCATACATTACATACAAAACCATTCATTTAAAATTGGTACGATCAACAAGTAAATTATACATTTCAGTTTAAAAAATTGGATAATTAACTCTTTTTTAGCATACAATAAAATTATTGATGTTATATAACCATTAATTTATAAGTAAAATTATAATCAATATAATATTTAAATTATAATGGTAACAATTATTTTGAAATATGAAATACTTACATTTGAGCAGCTGCGATATAATACCCGGTTTTGACATTTTTAATTGTTATAATCTTCTACAAAGTTACGAAAGGAAATGAACGATCTTCTGCGCCCCTAAAACAACCCTTCCTTGTAACTGACATTTCACCCATCTAGTGGCATTCTTTCAAACTATAATTCGCGGGTTTTGTATTCAACAGAACGAAAGTATCTTACTTCCACTATATCTGATTTAAATAAGTTTGTAGTTTTTTATTTACTTCCCATACAAAGTATAAAAATGGTTAAACATATATGATTCACAAACAGCGAGTTTATTAAACATTTTGTAAGTATACAAAACGCTCGTATAGTACAATTTTTGTGAAAAAGCGAAGTATGCAGATAAAGAAATTAACAAAAGTATTTCACATTGAAGAAACGGTATTTTGTAAACTGAATATTTAATTTTGTAATTTATTTTGTTCATATCTATCAATCCCAACTTTTAACACGTAATTCAGGATCAAGTATACTCCAATTTGGTGAATGCTTTTCATTAGATAACCAATTAAAGTCATCGATACAATTCCAATTATTTATTTTTGGATCCAGACCTGCCAGATTAAAGTGATTCGCTTGATCTTCGTAAGACCAATTATAAGGTGCAACGCGTATTTTTGTACAATCTTCTATGATTGCTCTGCTTGTAACATGTAAATAAATAGTACAGTCTGTTGAAGAATGTAATCGAAGTTGTTGACACGCCAAAGCAAATACACATTCATTACAATCATGAGCAAATACAGAAGATGTTACTGGTCCAACTAACACAGTACACTGTTTTAAGTTTACCATATGCAAAGTACTAGGTGTACCATAAATTCGTATCGTACATCGAATTAAATCGGAAAGTAGAACATCATTCTTATTTACGTTTTCAGCATCTAAAACTAATTGTTCATCAACTTTTCCCAAGAGCATACACGCACTATCTCCATATTTGCTCGACAATTTGTAATTTTGCTTAGTAGAACCATTTACAATTCCTTCTGATATTTTTAAATCTTTCAGACCATCTGTTACATCATGTGTTTTCTCAGAAGTTTTTTTCACAACTCTTCGGTTTTTAAATCCAAATTTCTTCTTAGGTAATAATTTCAATTCCAAATCAGAAGCTTCATTTTCCAATACCTGTAAATTTTCTTGTGCTCTTCTAATGTCATAAACTTTTAAAAACATTTTTGATTGTGACAAATAATTCTTAAGCATTAAAATTTCCTTATTTATCTTGTCAAACATTCCAGGAAGAGCTGATGTAGGTGCACTAGGTGCATTATCCAACATTTCTTTAACCTTCTTGCATGACGAGTAAAAAGTGTCTTTAAAATAACTGCTTTGTTCAGATTCAACAGCTAAAGATTGCCTTTCTTCTCTTCGTCTCTCAATGATATTCTTCCTTTCCCGATCTCTTTTGGTAATACGATCTGGCAAGTTGCCTTCTATGAGAGTAGGAGAGTCCATATTGATGTATAGATACTATTTTCTGCGAAGGATTATATATTGTATATCATTTAGCTTTAAATATTTATGATTTGTTGATAACATAAATTTATTTTTTAAAATATTTTGTTTCAATATATTTAAGACTTTTACACTCACTGATTTTTTAGGCAAAAACTAGAAAATATAAAAAGTATAAACTATTATCTCATATTGTATTAATAAATCTAGTTTATATCTATATTAACACTATAAAAATGCAAGCATACATTGTTAACTGTTAAACATATTTAGCTGAAATTATTGTTTAAAGAAATAACCTCAATATACATAATGTTATCAGAAAAAAAGTGCATGTATACATACCTTTCTTTTTTCTTTTTAAATATATTTTAAGCCACCACTACCTATTAAGGATGTAGGAAGTCTTAATTTCACAAAATTTAAGATTCATTTTGTTGACTTTCCCACAACGAGAGATCCAACAATTTTAGTTTATTGTCCTTATATGTTTTTTCATAAAGATAGTAATAACCACTTAATATGGATGGAAAGTGCTGATACATAAAATACCTGCAATCTAACGTTCATTGATGTCTATATTAACATTTATTTGATCAAATTCACAAAGATGTTACTCATTATAAATTACGATATAAAATTATAATAATATGAACACAACTTCATTCAATTATAGAAAATCCAAATTGTGACATTTAATTATGATTTTCATATGTTTTCTGCAAATGTTTTTTATACTTTTTAAAGTATCAATTGTTAAAAATATGTAACACTGTAAAAGTACAAATTAAAATACCAGGATCGTAAATGCATATAACCTCAAACATAAAAGAGTTACAAAAAGTGATACATATAACTTACCTTGAGACTTATTCATATAGGACCATAATGCATATGATCCAACAAAACATGCAGCTTCGAGAAAGATAACTATCTTAACTGATTTGAATACAGAAAAAGATCTTTTTGGTTTCTTGTGAAGCATACTAAATACATAGCAATACGATTTCCTAAAATGGAAATTATCAATACGGCAAAGAGGTAGGTAAAGTATCTTTCGAGATATCGAGTTCCAATTCGACAGGAAAAAGAAATCCTACGGCACTTCCGTTGCTGTGAAATATGTACTTTAAAAAAATCATTTCGATATATGGTCAAGATTTTGAAGAAATTAAGTAAATACAAATAAATACTTGTTTTTATAGAAGTAGTCCAATTTAAATAATGTAGAAGAATATTTATTATACAGCTTTATGTACATAAGCACAGACAAAATATTTAAACAGGGAATATGATTTTAAAGGGCAGTTAAAACTTTACCTGCAACTAGTATTCATTGTATGTACATACATCTAGCAATAAAAATATAATTATTAAGATAATTTTTCTAATTGTTACAAGAAATTACATGGTATTTTATTTAATTTTACATGTAGAGTATTTAAAATTAAGCACAAATTATGTATCAAAATTTAGTACAATTTTAATGTCATTAATGTCAAAATTATTACATTAATCTATTATTGAATTTATTACAATTTTTTAACCTATTATTAGAGCGATATCTTACTAGAATAAGTTGGTACAAGATGTAAGTTTATGCTTTAAAAGATTATGAAATACATTTCCATTTCTGAAAAATAAGAAATATCCATTATTACATACATTCTATGTATAAAGAAATATTTAGTCACACATATGTATATCTGACTTCTTTAGTTTATTTAAAATATTTTAGATAAATTAACATAAGTAACGAATTCACGCACTATTGGTCTTAAAGTTATACAATTAGTACCTATTATTACACAATTTTAATATGAAATATCTATAGCAAATATTTTAAGAATAAACACACGTTGCTATTGTAATAAACGGCAGTTCTTTGCATAAAATCATATATTTATTATATTATGTACATACGAAATAATAAACTAAAATCTAAAAATTTTTAAAATATAGAATGATAATAATGTACATATAATTATTATTTAACAAATTTTACTTTTTTAACGAAGCTGAATCATATTATAGTCTAATTATATTTGCCATCCTAATAAACAATTTCAATTGCACTATGGAAACATAACTGCCATGTAAAGACATCATCTTTAATTCTTAAATGTTATTCTGTAGTAATTATTCAGTATTTTTTGTTTTGTATACATATACATATATCGATTTATCATCTGGTTCAAAATTATTAAAACATTTTTATTATGATCCTTCAACATAATATAATACTGCTTAAAAAGTATTAACTTCGTTTGAATTATTTACTTTACATTCTTTGTTATAAATTAAATATAAAACCACTTTCCTTTAATTGTTAGGATTACATATGTATTTATAATATTTTCGCCCCCTATTTACAAAAAATAATTTAAATGATTAATTTTTTATGTAAATCTCTATATTTACTTTGTCAAACGTGGCATATTTTGTATTTCAAGTTACTGTATTACACTAACTTTATAGAAAAGAAGATCTCTAAGAATTTTCGTTATTGCTCTTCTATATTTCATGAACAAATATAAAAATAGATGATTATAAAGAGACAATATTATTTTGCCTCTATTAGAAAATATGATTGAAAAAAACGTTATCACTGAAAAATTTATGATACTGATACATATTAAATAGTGAATGCCATTTAATACTAATTTTTAAGTAAAATTTATTATTTGCTGTTTATTATATTGCAAACTATATTAAATTACATATTACTTTAAATTATGAGAAATTCCTGGAAATTTTTAATTAGATTATAAAGTGCTAAGGCACCACAGGTAAATGCAAATGATAATAGTGATTGTTATCATATTATCTCTCTATAATTTTAGGGGCATGAACTATAGATGCTTTGTGTAAAACTCTTCTGTTATGTAAATGTGTTTATAATATTATTTTTTCTAAAAGTATTTGTACACACATACTCCAAGATTTTTATGTATTGAAACCATCCAATTTGTTTTCAACTGCCTATTAGTAAAGGAAAAAACATTTTAGTGCTTTTGTCTTTTCATTTATGAACATATTTTAAGATTTATTATTTACTCTTGTTATATTTTCAAACAATAAGAGAAAACAAAAAAAAAAAACATATTGCATTATATATATATATATATATAAAAGATTTGTTTGAAAAGTACTTATTATAAATAATAGAACATTTTACATATTACATACAAACACAGTAACATTTGTGTTTAAACTGAGAACTGTTCATAGAATATGTGCCTGATTTATAACTGTTTTTGTTGATTTGAAATTTCAAAATATTCTTATGGGTATAAAATGACAATTTTCTATGGAACTGAAAATGCAACATACAAAGATATTTGATTAGTATTAAGCAACCAATGTTTTGGCACAGATATTCGAAATCTGTGTAATTTGTTGACATTACTTTAGAGTTTTCACGAGTGTGATAATATTAAGGCAAATGTAGTATTTTTATAAACTTTTGACACCAACTGCACAGATTTTAATATGAAATCACAGTACAGAATCAAGGTACTAACTTTAGGATTTATGTTCAACTTTCAAATTCAATTTAATCCTTTTAATAGCAAAACTGTTACATTTCTGAAATTGATTTTATAATACAGTTGAAACGTTTGCAAATTTTATAATTTTCTGAATTATACATAATTACAAATTATTTGATGGAAATTAAACGTCTAAATGTAATATTTGTGTTACTTTTACACTGCATCATAACTGTATCAATGTAAGATGGCAGTTACATATATGTATAGAGAAAAATAAAAACAGTATCACCCTCATTAATAATTAAAAAAATTAATTAGAAATTCATTACGCACGACATTGTTATTTACAGCATTTTATTTTTAGAAAGATCAAATTTGACATAATTTTTGTCAAAACAAGTTTTCATGATGATCTCACAAAATCACAAATTTTAATTCTTGTAGTACTTCTTGCTTGCTAATGCACATTAATTTTTCTTTTTACATCAACGCTAAGACGGAATTTGTTGAACTTATATTTTACGATAACCTATATTAGTCGACACATATTATGCTGTTCGTTTTCAATCAATAATTCACATTCGTAATTTTGAGTTTAATCTTTACAGGCAAACGGGCCGTAAGGTTGCATACAAAATTGATTAATCAAAAAGAAATAGATATTCAAATAACGGCCGACTGCTCTTTCATGAATTAGCAGTTGATGCTAATGTATCTCTCATTTACTCTCAATGGTAGTCATTTATCCAGACTTACAGTAACGAGGCATAAAGAGATAGCTGCTGGGGGCAGGAAAAAGTCAGTATGACGATCAATATGACAGTCTTTTGAACACCATGAGGTCATGGGGGCACTGATATACTGTAGTTCGCTACGATACCATCTCATGCCATCCACTACCATTTGAAGAGTTACTTTCTAACGGCGCTAAAATTAAAGACAAAGTTTCGTGTTTGTCTTACATTATCCGTATGAAAATGAAAAACAAAAAGAAAAAAAAGAAGAAGAAAAAAAAAGAACAACAATATTTAATATTAATATTACACTCAACGATTAAATAATTATACCAAATTTCACAATTTCAATAGGATATCAAGCTTGATAAACTTACCAGTCTTGTCACTTTCACCTTTTTCCGGAGAGGATGACCTAGGTCCCCATATTCTCACTGTACAGTCGTCTGATACAGAAGCCATCATTTGATGATATACAGGATTCCATGAAACACAATTTACTGTCCTACTGTGTCCTGTTAAAATTGCTATAGGTAATTCTCTTTTGATATGCCATACATATACTTTAGTGTCTGTAATAGAAACAAATATGTCTTGTCAAATATACGTCTTGTTTTACTGTAAAATTGTAGAATGTTTAATGTACGTACCTTCGCTGCCAGATGCGATAAAATCTTGATTTACACCACCGAAACAACTGTGAATTGTAAAATGTCCTTGAGTAACACCTTGAAAACGTCTCACTAAACATCTGTCTTGTAAATCCCAAAGATGTACACCCTGATTAGCTACATTTAAAAGTGCAAGCCGGTCTGCTTTGTTTACACTAAACGACATTAGAGGATGATCTTCTTGTAATCTGCAATATAAACAAATATTACCAAAAATATTACAACATATTACGTAAATAAAGGATTTTGTTGATAATTTTATACATTGTGAAGTCACATAAATCGTCAAAATTATATCCCCGGATTCGGTGATGCGAATCAGCAGCTAGAACCGTTTTACCATCGTTTTTACACCACAAACATTTTACTCTAACTCCTTCCCAAGATTCTGATACATTTCCTTCGATATCCTGAAATATCAGTTTGTACATTAAAAAATATAGGTACTTTAGTATACAAACGAAATTGATTAAATAATAAATTTAATTGATGTTACAAATTGATAAAATTGTCCACGAAGACCTCCTGCCACAAATTTACGTGAATCGGGATACCAAGCGCAAGCGGTAAGTGAATCATCGGTATTTTGAGTTACTGTTGCACGAAGTTCGTAATCAGGTGGGTCGATGCTCCAGAGCCAAAGCTCTGGGCAATCTTCAGGTCCGCAAGCGATTAAAAGACTGCTATCAGGACTCCAGGCAATTAGTGCTACTCCATAAGTATGACCTTCTAGTGTTTTTCTGTGTGTTACTTTCAGTGTTTCCTATTTTGAATAATAAAACAATAAAAAATTGTTATTATCTTAAAACAAAGATTTGTTACTTTATTAAAATGAATAATTTCCTTACTGGATCAACGTCCCAAATAATTACAGTCATATCTTTAGAACCTGTAGCTAGCTTACGACCATCGGGAGAGAATTTACAATACCATACTTCGTCACAATGATTATTGAGCACCTGTATAGTATGGCACGGAAACTGCTCTTTGCTACAGCTATGGTCCACGAGTAACGATACGTTCTCTAAACTTGTCTAACATGTAACAAAAAATAATTTTAATTATAGCAATATAAAACAAGAAATGAAGAAATATTTGTAGATCTGAAGGCAGTGTAATTTTCATTGGATATTCTACGTTCAAATTTCATTAGAGAACATTAGTAAAACTTGATTGAAACGTGACTG